TAGAGCGCGTGCATTTGAAACTAAATGCTTTCCACATCCAGAAAAGCAAGCTCCAAAGTAAGCAGAGATGCTCTGGGCACTGAAATAAGGACATGAAGGGATTCACTCAGACCAAATAAGAGCAATGGCTCTCTGACTGCATGTTTAAGCACAGCCTAGAGCAAAAGCACCTGATCCCTCATTAAACAAAATAAGCAAATACTGTAATACAAATAAATCATCTGCTGACAAACATTTGCATCTTTAATGCAAACTAAACTGAATTGATTTTAGATAACATTTTGGGATTTTATCTATCATCAAAATAATGCTGATCCTTGTTGCACAAAACTCATTCCATTTATGTGTAGTACCTATGCTAAAGGCACAGTAGTCCAGTAACCAGAAAAAAAACAAACCACCAAACAACAAAACCCTAACCCAAAACCCAGGAGAAATGACAGGCAGAAGAAAAAGCAAACTGGAGAAGAAAAAGAACAAGGAAAGAAATAAGCAAAAATGACAAAGAAAAGACAAATTTAGGGGGAAAATGGCCCTAAATTTCTTCTGCTTGGAAGAAAACTATGCAGCAAACAGCGGGTGTCTAGACACACACTATCAACAATACATTAAATTTGGGGCTGATCAGTACCATGGCTTAGCCTTATACAAGATGGTATAACTCGGTCCAGATCCAGCAAAGCACTCGGGTTAATGCTCTATTTTCAGCCTGTGAGCAGTTCCATCGAAGTCAAACTTTCTGTGACTTTAGTAGGTATTTGCTTAAACTCTTTGTTGGATAAGTACCAATGAGTATTATTCCTATATTCAAATTCCTAGAGATCCTAATTCAGGTCTCCAAAATATTTTTAAACATGGGTTTAAAGCCCTTGCCCTCAATTGGCTTCGATTTCTTAGAGTCATGAAATGCTGAGCAAAATCCCTACTCATATCATTTGGCTCACATTTGCAGTTATTTTTTTCATAGTTAAGTGGGCTTGAAACTTTCAAAAAGTGAATGCAGAAATTCGAAAAGTGAATGCAGAGATTAGCTACATCCTAAAATGTAGCTTAATCTTGTCCCCAGGAGCTGGTGTTGAAAAAAAAAAAATAAAAGAAATATTAATAATAATAAAAAAAATCTATCCTAGGACTCATAGAAGCATGAGAGTTGTTGAATTTGAATGTACTCGGCACCTTGCTCATTTGAGCCTTCAGGACAGCTATCCATTTCCATGATAACTTTACTGACTAAGATGGACCAGGATAACTGTCCTCTTGTTTTGGGGGACTCTTCTGCAATAGGACAAGAGCATTTGAGAACTGCATGCAACACGTACTGCAGAAAGAAATGTTAACTCTGCCTAGATGAAGGAAATACGCTTTTGTTTTCCTATAGCCCTCATACTTACTTTTGTCCCCACATTCTGCAGTTTCTGCATTTCATCTGACTTAAAATACAATAAATTCTCTCTGTTACAAGCAGTTGCTTAAGTAGTCCTGGGAGCTGACCAGTCTTCTGCTGGCTACAATGCATACAGCTGAATGGGGGGAAATGAACTTCAGCTGGTGAAACAGCTTGTGCTATAAAAGCTTGTGCTTATGGGAACCAGGTCCTGAGATCCCTGTATCTAATTTAAAAGTCCTTTCATAAAGGTATCTATCTAACATTTTTAAACAGATCTCTTAATTCATCCCTGAATTGAGAATAAAGCAGTCTGATAAAAAAATACACAGGCTACATGCCAAAAACAGAAGTAGTAATTCATTGGCCTTGAAATATAGTTCTTTTACTGGAAACATTACGAAGATGAGATGAAGATGAGGACTGTGTGTCATCACAAAAAAAGGGGGGGGCAATTTTTAACAGGCACTCTTTAGAATAGGCTCCATGTTTCATCCTCAATTATCAGTTCATCAATCTAGAATTTCTTAGCTGCTAGCAGATGGGCAAAGGTCACCAAAAAGGGCCTCATTAAATTAGTGCAATTTGGAAAATTAACCACAATCTGAACTAATTTCTCTCCACAGTACATTAGATTTTCCAGAGTTATTCCTCTTTAGTAAAAGGCCAGTAAAAACTAAAACCCAGAAACAGCCAAAAAAGAAATTCGCTTTCAACTGCCCGGCTGGATTTTGTGCAAATAAATTTGGATACATTTTCCTTATAGATTAAATGAAATAGTTGATAATGATATCCTGCACTTATATATAACCTTTCAAAGTTTCAAGTATTCAAAAGTAACACAAGCTTTAGGAGGGTTGGGAGGGACCATGAATTTACAACTAAAGTAGTTCCACTACATTCCCCATCAAAGAAATCAGAGCTCCTTCAGGAACTACTAGGAAAAGCCAATATCCAAACTCACTGAAGTAGCAAGCCTTGCCCTTCCATGCAAAACTGTAATACACAAGTACCTTGATTCCCCAAGACCAGAACATCCCTCCTTTGATTTCTATTGAATCAACACACACCTCAGCATCCTCACAACTTCAGTTCCTATGTGAGGTTGACAGGACCAAATGTTTCAAAAAAAATAAAAAATAAAAAAATCAGTAACCAAAGTCAGGATACTAAAGCCTTATTTTGAGATCTCCCTATATGCAGTTAAGTATTAAGAGAATTCTTCCTCTATTTTCAAACTGAAAACAATGTTTTAATTCCTTTTCATCCTAAAATAATTAGGAAATTCTACTCTGCAAGACAGAACAAAACAAAACTAAAGTGACAAAAAGCAAGTTTCCCATCTTATTAACCACTCATTCATACACCCTGACAGTCTTTTTATAATGATTCATCATAATATAATTTTTTCACATAATATAGCATGAACAGAGCGTCTTCTTTCAACACCCGAAGTATATACGAAATAACCTCTACCTTTTGCCTGCTTTTCTGCCCTTACCTTCTTTTCAGTAAACAAACCAATCTTCCAGTCTGTCCTTACGAGACATTTCCTGTTATCTGCTGCCCATTTTCAAATTACAACCACAATGATTCTGACCTTATGGCTGAGAAAGTCTGTGGGAATTGCTTTTAGTGAAAAGAACATTTTTCCTATCATCCTCAAAAACCTCAGTTGCCAGGGTTTAGTCAGATACAACAAAAGAATCACTTTTTGACAGAATTCAAACATCAACAAGTTAATTTAGAAATAAGATTTTTAAACCTTACCAAGTAAATGGCAACAGCCTGATAGAATGGAAGCAGCTATGTTACATTAGCTATACAAGACATCACTACTGCCATGGCTGCAGTGTGTTTTTAATGGGCATTAATTTGACATGATGCAGACATCCAAAAATTAAATTCAAGTACCCAGGCTGTGCTTGCATGGACTGTGCCTTTAAGTGATCTGTGTTTATCTATGACAGATTGTCAAGGATGGGAATTAATAAAGGGAAGCTACTGCTGTAACTATACTGAGTTCTGGACAGGGAGACCTAAGAGAGTCGTCTTCTTCCTTTACCTATTCTCTGACAATTGCATTCAACTGGCACACAAAAAGCATGCTTATTTAAAGGAGGAATGGATATCTTCTTCTAGGGTTTACCTGGAAAGCATCACAATATTAGACTTGATATCCAAACCAAAAAAATAGCATATACTTACACTATAGTTAATAAAATCAAAACTTGACTTGAGATCAAACACTACCTGCATCAAGGACCGCAAGGATGACAGGTCACAGAAAATGGTTTAACAAAACTTTTCATGATAGAAACTAGTGTCTCAGAATACAAAGGGATATGCAAAATCCTACTAAAGCCGTAAGTCAAACAAAACGGTTTAGTTTCCCTGAACTGCACCCTGTATTCAGGACCAACAGGACTTGTCAAACCATTTTCCATTGACACATTTTAAAAGAATATGGATTTCTGACCAAATAAAACACTTTTTTTGGTTAATATACTAAAATACTTTTTGCTATTGTAAAAATATTTTTTTTCACCCACTAATTACTCCTCCATTACAATAATAGAGCAATTTCATGGTTATGATAGTGGTTGGTTGCCAGTAAAATAATCACAGCAACGTAGAATCACTATTTTTCCATGTTACGGACTAGAAAGTGGGAAAAAAAAATATTACACTGCAAATACCTAATCTCACTGCCAGAACAACAGAAAATAAGAGTGTGACAACTGAAGTTCATTAGCTACTTCAGTGATGATGCATGAGACCGGGAAGAATTTGTTACTGTTTACCATCAGGGAACATATTCTCTTTAAGGAGAATTTACAAAATCTCTATTTTCCTATTTTATTTTTCCCAAAAAAAATTTAGCAGATTGCCATGCAAATCCAGAAAGCAGTCCTATTTAACATAAGGATGGCCTTTTACACAGCCCTTTATGGATATGAACTGTACTTCTCCATTATGCATTAATTAGCAAGGGTAATACAGATATCAACACAGGATAGAGAAGACAGGTCTGCCTCCTCATTGTGATGGTTTTCATTTCTACATTCCCAACCTGCCAGCTCCCCAGTTCTCCGCAAGAAAATGTGTGATGTTTTCATGAAGCTCAGCAAGCCAGGGACATGCAGTCTTCATAGCAGCTCTCATAAACCCAACTTCATTGACTTCAAATAAGGCCAAAGTGATTTTTATCAGCTGAAGAACTGGTCTGACCTGTATAGAACACACTACTGTGCACAGTAAAAGCCCAAAGTGTGAAACACTTCAAAATCCAAGTGCCTAGACATGAGTAAGAGGTGAATTTCTAGCTCTTTGTAAAAAATTTCCATGGACTTCAAGCATGGCAGAAACTTCTCTGGTGGTAGACTGGGGCTAATTCATTGCCACCATTGCAGCTACACTGATTTATTCCAGCGAAGGTCTTGTCCTTAAACTTATGTGCTTGTGGATCATATATTCATGACTGAATCCATTATCATGGCATAGGGAAATGGAAGAAACGAAAGCAGCACAGGAGCACAAATGAAGATTTTATCACTTAAATAAAATTGAGGGCTGTTATTCTTTATGTTTATTTCAGTTATCATTAATTTCTTACCTCACAGACATAAGCAAGCTATTGTTCAACTGCAGTTCTCTCAGATTAGGTAGATAGGCACCTATGGGAACAGAATAAAAAGCACTTTGCAGATCTGGGAGTAAAGGAAACTGCTAAAAATTACAAGTTGAAGCACCTAATTTTACAGGCATTTCTTACCTGTTTCTGCCAGACTTGTGCTAGCACTCTTCTAAGAAAATTAATGAGATTATTTCACTCAAAAAGTATTTTACCCTTTGCATTTTTGCACCACATACGTACTGTCTGCGTGACTACCCTGCTATAATTTTTGGAACCCTGCTCTGACAATTTCGACAGAGCACCTTTCCAGACAGACAACACCAGAAAGTGGCTTGATGGGTGACTGCTTTCTTTGGTCTCATTCCCAACAGTCATTGCCCGTTAACTGAGTGATTACTCTGAAGAAGTAAGGGATGCTCAGGGTATAGCAGTCCATGACCTCTGATTTCTACATAATGTTCTTGCTTCTCTCCCCAGAAATATTTTTCTACCAATTTAATGTCAAGCAGTGATGGATTTCTTGGATACACAGCTAGGTAACACTTCTTCAAAATGTAATTTTGACTCAAACAACAATAGCATAATTTCTCATGTCATAACTTCACCATTTATAGTTCAGAGGTCCCCAAAATCCTACTTTGTTTTGATATGCATTGTCATCTCCTTTTATTTTTCTGTATCTCATCTACTGCTTACTATTCAATTGTACAAATTTCATATCTATGAATACCTCAGTATTCTGTTGTTATTTTGATTAATGCTTTTTTCTGTTCCCAAGAGAGATTTCCCTTTTTGGTTGTTTCTACAGGTATGTCTGAACCAAAATCATACACAAAATCTCTCCAAGCTACCAAGTAACTCAGACATAAGCTCTAGTCCCAGGAAACATTAGGTATTGACAACAGCAAAATTTTACCCATTCCCACTAGAGGAGCTCACCTGTGGCTGATGAGCACCCTCCAGTATAACATGCAACCATGTAAAGATAGTAACAATTTTAGACAAACTGGATCATTGCTAAAACATTAAAATCTGTTCTAAGCAAATATTTTTATAAGTCCTCAGAGTAATCTTTCTCTAGCATGGGTGGCTTAGCAGTGTCCAGAGGGACATCATTCCAGCTCTTTGCAAAGGATCAAAATGAAACAAAACAAATAAACAAAGGAAAACAGGAGTGGGATTTCAAAAGCAAACAAAGGAGGTCATGTTGTTCATCCCGTTTCCCCAAACATAACAAGAGCATTTACAGCAAAAAGATTTTAATAAATCATGGTTTGGTAGAAGCATTATGTATATCTAGTGCTAGTTGGGAATGATTATACTGCATATCAATCTTCACACATATACCGATTACAACACATATAATACATATAAATCTTCATGCTATACTGCAAATACTTAACTTCATGTATTTGCAAAGTACTTTAGAAAATAGTAAAAATGCAAAACACATTTCTAACCCTTTTTAAATAATTTTTCATAACCCCTAAAAAAGTGTACAAATTATAACATACCATCCTCATCCTGCAGGGCATACTTTCTTACATCAAATCAGTTTTATAAAGTATGGCAACAAAACAATCTGGAGTCCTGACAGGGTTGATGCTAGTATCTCTGTTAATTAATCTAGATTGCTACCATGTTTCTGATAAAATACCTCAAGCATAGAGAGACGTAATGGCTTCCCCAAAAGCGTTGAAGGAAAGAACAAGAAGGATGCAGTAGCCTCTCTAGTCCCAACACAGCAGCGGGTAATAGGTTTGCCACAGGTTCAACCAGACAGGTTAAAGGGTTACCAAGCAAAAGCTATTGCAAAGCATTACAAAGTAAATGGGTTTTAAAAACTAGTATCAAGCAGAAGATTTGAATGAGGAGACAAGAAGACTACCTCAGAGAAAAAGGAGAGACTTGCTCAAGAAAAAGCTCCCCACTGAATGCATTTAGAGTTGGTTCAGGAAAAAAGCAACTATTAAAGAACACAAAGAGGCAGAGTGACAGGCTGACAATACCATTTTCACATCTAGTTATTTCATTACTGTAAACTGATCCTCCATCTCAGACATTTTATTGTATTTTGGTACAATCTATCCATGGGAACTTGTAGAGTGTTAAGCTCTAATATGCTGTTTAATAGACTGAAATAAAAGTATGCTATGTGCAGTGGTGCAAAATTCTACCAGCAAGATTTTTGCGTATTTATCCAGTTCTGCAGGTTCTTCCCTCCTTTAAGGTTTATATTTGATATGTAATTGTTCTTTGCTGCTAAGAATTCACTGCCACTTAATTTTGCATGGTTTTATAGTCCCAATTCCATCCATCCATATATATATATATTAGAGACTGCAAGATTAAATTGAAAGAATATTGTAAAATGAAGATGACAGAAATAAGAGATCTATCCAAATATAGCAACATACTTCTAATTTTCTTAATTTTAACCCTCATGGCATTTTTCCTGAGAGCAAGGATGCAATTTATTCTTATACTAACATAAAAATACTCTAAAATATCAACAATAATAACTTCCAATAATTTTCAAAGTACAAGCAATATATTCCTCATCTTGAAACTGCCTTTCTAAAATAAGAATGGTCCAGAAAAATACTGACAACCACAGTGCAAGGCTGAGAATTTAGAACAGTGAACAATGTTATCTCATAGGTCTAAGATTCCATTTCAATAAATACCCTTTTTGCTACATATCTCTGAAACTACTAGCCACCAGCAATGTGCTAGTGTTAAACTATTATACTGTACTATCCCAGTGGAACAAAACTAAATGAAGAGCAAAAGAAATCAAAGCATAAGGTAGGTGAATAAAAGTGATACATGCATACTCAACAATGTTGCCTTAAGTGCTGCACTTCACAAGCAAGGTAGCAGTGCAGATGTCTTTCTGAGCTGTTTTGGTACAGCAGATGAAGTTTAGATAACTGACTAGAAGTAAGGAGAAATATAGGCAAGATGCTGGTTTTATTATATTCTACAAGCTACAACACTTATTTTTGTAAAACTTGTTGTTGACATCACAGTATATTCTATTGTTAGCAAAAAAAATCATTGTAGCTCGACTTCTTATGCCTTCTGGAATATGGACTAGAGAAAAATATACACAAAAGAAATTACTGACAAATACTTGCATTGCTACCAGGACACCTATATGTTTTATTGATCCTACAGTACATGTGATCCTACAGAACATGTGAACACAGATTGCACTCTTCTAGCAACAGCAACATGATACGTAAATTAAATAGGGTATTTAATTCACTTAAGGTGTGTTTGATCAAGTAAGATCCATCACCTTGATGTTATTTCCACACTGGCCTCCTGACCACGCAAGTACCAGCCACTGCAATGCTAGCCGCCAACAAATGTCTCTCAGCTTCACATCAGGAATACCGACAAACAGAACAAGAGGAAAGTGAGATGATGACTCTGAGTGAAAAAAAAAGAACCTTTAGCAGAGCTTTTCCTTGATAAAACATGTGCAAGGGAAGCAGCAGTCTTCAGACCCATAATCAACTTAGCCTGGCCACCAGAAGACAACAATTCAATAAGTACCAGCGAACAGCATTGTGGGTAACTTGATTTGTAGCTATTAAAATCACTTAGAAAGAAGAGGACTATGTAGTGTCTTAAATGACTGTATCCCACCATTACTTTCAACAGGAATTTCTACGAGCTGGGCAGGAATGCAGTCCCAGATCTGTCAGCAATCAATCAGAACTGAAGGGATAAGCTAATGAAAAGAAAAATAGTCCATCTGTTTGAGTACGAACTAAAGCCTACACGCAAACTGAAGAGCACAGAAGTGAAGTCCAAGATCTAAAAAGCTGGATACAAGACTTGCCAGGGTGGTTCAGTGTTTTACCTGTCACTCAGTAGGGTGCACTGAAAACAAACAGCTAAACATGTCAGCAATTATCCCAAGCCTTGAGACTACGATTCCAGCTCTGGCTTTCCTTGATTTTAAAACTGATCACATGAAAATACTGTAGTATTGGTCTTTTTGAGTTTTAACCCACACTCTACCCTTAAGAAACGCAACTGTTCCTCTCCACTATCTCACAGCATTACATAGAGCCTGATCTAACAAACTGGGAAAGCATAGCAAGATGGAGCTTTGAAGTTCAGTACATCCCAATCTGGAATGCTCATGAGAAAAACTCAAGTCACACGTTTTAAATCACTCTGGAAACCATGATAACAGAGATGTAGGCCCTCAAGGCTTGTGTTGCAGTCTGTGTATGGCTGCAAACACTGAAATGTTTCTCAAGTAGAAATTGCAGTGTAAATTTGGAATTTGAGTGTTGCAAGGTTCCAGGTGACCCAGAGTTATGTGAAGTCTAGTAATTTACAACTATTTTACCTGGCCATTTAAGAGCTTGCACAGCCCATTTTATCTTTATGCATAAAACCAGTCAAACAATATTGTTTATTAAGTGCAAACTGATCATAGAAATAAAGAACTCTGATGACAAAGATGCTCTCATCCACCTTCTGCAACTAAGGAACACACTGAGAGCAAAGTTAACTGATTTAATATGGCTATAAAGAAAGTTAATTAGCTAGGTCTGGAATGCAAATAAAACCACCAAAATGCAAAGCAATCCATTCTGGAGGAGAGAGCCAGAGGTCCCGAGCCCAGCCTCCTGCTCAGAGCTAGGTCTTCTGTGAGATCAGACCAGGGTGCTCAGGTCTTCACCCAGCTGGATCTTGAAAACCTTCAAGGGTGGAGACTCAAACCTCTCTGGATACCCTTATTGTTTAACTGTCCTAATGGTGGAAATGCTTCTCTTTCTTGTCACACTGTAACTTCTGTCATTCTAGCTGGTCTGGTTCTTACCCTTCTCCTTCCCTCCAGCTATTCATCCAGACCCCTGTGAGCAGAGATCAGGTCAGCAGCAGAGTTTTAGGGGCAGGCAGACGAGGAGCATGCAATGAGCCCAATACCTCCAACAGCAGACCTGCTTACACTGTTCATATTGAAGGTGCAAACTGTCCTGTGCTACCCCTAAAAAGGCAGACCTTACTCCATGCACCTAAAAATCAGCTGTCATGTGAAAAGAAAAAAAAAGAAACTGTGTTTGGTCTTGACATTCTGTTATTCTCAACAGCAGTGGGCACGTGCAGCTGCTGGGTTTTATAGCCCCCAAGGGCCAAGTCTTGGTGCAAATGGTGGGATATAAACAAGATGGAAACTGTCTGCAATATGGGAATAGCGCTCCACATTCTGTAAAAGTTGCAAAAGCCTAACCCCAGGGAGCAGAAAGGGATTTATTTCCAGTAATGGAAAGGAAAGGGAAGTACAGAGTGAAAAGAATGAAATAGTTTGCTTGCTTGTCACAGCTCATGTGAAATGGCATTGGAACGGGAGTGGCACTTTCAAGCATTATAGAAAAGGTGTAATCAGATTTTCTTATCAAGTGGAGGAAACATGACTGAATAGATTACTATTTCTGAAATGCATGTAATTTACCTTATCAAGTGCCTACCATAAAGAGAACTATTTACAAAATAAATGGAATAACCAATACAAAGCGGTTATACAATTCAAGACAAAAGCCCCCTTCACTGTACCTGCTTCACCATTCTTGACAAATAGACATCAATCAATCCACTAAAGCTAATTGGCTATTACATTGTAGTCCCTTGCATAAAAAAATTAACTGCTTGGCTGAAAATACCAGCACCCACGTTTGGCGATGTGACTCCTTTTGGAACAGAAAATATTACCCTGCAGTAGGCTGGGTTGCAGAAGACTTGGTTGTGATAGGCATCCACATGACAGAAAATGACTGCTAGTAGCGGGAAAAAGGAAGGCTTCATATTCTCAGTGTTTACTATAGAGGGAATTCCTTGGTACTTCCTTACTTCCCCAGTGCAATAATGACAACATAGAAACTAAGGGCAAGCATTAGGGCTGTTTAGGACTCATCAAAATGATATATCTCTAGGACCTTCCTCTGTCACATCATCCAGCACAGCTCGATGAGGCAGCACAGGATGCAAAGACAGGCCACTGGCTGCATGAGTAGCTTGAAACCACTAGCAATTTCCCACCCACAGGAAAACCTTACAGTGGAGAGAAGCTGGACTTTGGCTACTGCTTTGTTAGAGTACTGCCAAGTACTTAGAGGGCAAGGTAATCAATAAATGCTCATTTAGGGCCTGGAAGCATGTCATTCAAGAGGAATGTGTTCAAACTAATTTGCTTTAGACAGAAATGGCATCACTCATCCCACTGCCATAGTTTTCAGTCCTGTTTAGAGCTTCACAGAAAACAGAGATCAAGGAATGAGAGCTTCCAGGGAGACCATGTTTCAGGAGTTCTTAAGCAGGAAAGTACTTTACAGTGGTTGTTAGTTTCTAAGTCCCCAGTCATGCTTCAAGACACAATAAAGGAAAATTTGAGACAGATAACGTGTTTTCTTACCAAAGTTCCCCAAGCTGTTCTCTCTTGTATCTACTCGCACCTTTAGGGAATTCACTTGCTGCAGATCATTTACCCCTGTCAAAATTTTCTGTAAAGATAAGCAGAAATGTATGTATACTTCCATTGCAATAAACCAGATGACATGCAATAAACCAGATGAGAAGTAAAAAGCTGTAGAAAGGCTTTCAACCAGTGCTTTGTCAACATATACTCCAGATCAAAATGGCTAGATGTGCAATCACATTGAAATAAATTTAGTATTCAAAGATATTTCTTCCTCATAGCTCCAAATCATTCTAGTCTCTTCGAGTCAAAGCTGAGGATTACGTTCAAGCTGCAAATCAACAGACCTACATGCCAATTAACTTCATTTAAACAGTATGTCCATGCTTTAAGATTTGCATAAGTCTTGTATGAATCCTCAGCAGATAAGAAGTTACTCTGTCACCTGTAATCAAAAAGATACTCGGTATTAACACTCAACAAAACACTTTGTTTAGCGTTTTAGCCCAAAACCATGAAAAAGAGACATGATTTTAGCATGAGTGGCTCACTTTTCTGAAAGAAGACAGCACTAATTACAAGAATTGCAAATTCCTTTGATATCTAGGCAATACAAACAGAAGCCTCCAAAATACTCCACTATTTTTGCAAAATCTTGGTAATAGGGTCAACCACTGCATTAAGCAAGAGTGTGTGAATGCAGGATCTTTCCTAATATCTTATAGCCTGCATTGATGTGTACATGCAAGTTTTGCCTTGGAGAGGTAAGCAGGAGGACAAAAACAAGCAGAAGTTATACACAGAGGGAAGCTCTAGGACAGTAGGAAGCTCCTAGGACAGTCGGAAGCTCCTAGGACAGTCAATGAAAACTACAGCAAGGCTATAGAGTCTTAAGATGCCAGGCTGCAATTTCACAAGCAGCTGAAGCAGTCTTGTGTTACCACTGTTCTTATCCCCTATTCCTTCCTGCTACAACCAGCTCCTCTCTCCCCAGTTTCCCTCATTCAGGCTACATGTTCCACCATGTCCTTTGTATCATCTTTGGGTGCTCAGTGGATCCTTCCATGCATGGATTCACCAAAACAGACCAGGAGGGAACTATATATTTTGTCCCTGATGTGTTAGTGGTTCATGAAGAGGCCTGAAACACTCCTTGAAAGATGAAAAACAAGTCTTTTGTGACACAATAACTGCCTGAAAGAGTTGATGCTCTGTGTAGTGATACAACTGCTACATTCTCACCTTTCCATGCCAAAGAAGTTAGAATGTGGGGCTAAAAAAAGCCCACTTCAAAGAAATGGCTGACCCTGGCATCAGTATTTCCCCCTCAATAATGAAATCAATAGCATGGGTCAGTAGTGTCATGTGCCTTTTGCACCTCTATTTAAGATGAAGGCAGGAAGTCATTCAACAACCTCCACATATAGGAGACAAGTTTTCTTCCTATTAAAAGTTACAACATTCTTTAGTTTGTTTAATAAGGGGGGAATTATTCATTAGAAGGAAACGTGTAGGACCACTTCCATTTATGAGTTTGGAGAAGAAAAAATAACCACAAGAACATCCAGTTCATTTTGCAGAGAAAAACGGCAGTTGTGACATTCCTGCTCACTGCATGCAAGCAACTACAACTTCATTCACCCTGATAGGACTGTAGTGATAGGACAAGGAGTAACAGGTTCAAGCTTGAACAGTGAAGCTCAGGTTAGATATAAAGAAGTTCTTTACTGTGAGGGTGGTGAGGCACTGGAATAGGCTGCCCAAAGAAGTGGTAAATGCTCCATCCCCAGCAGTGCTCGAGGCCAGGTTGGACAGAGTCTTGGGTGACATGATCTAGTGTGAGTGTAAGGGGGGTTGGAAATAGATGATCTTAAGGTCCTTTCTAACCCTATTCTATGATTCTACGACAGTTCTGCATCCTTTTACAAAGGACCAAACACAATCTGTGTGTAAATGAGATAACAGCTTAAAAGGGCATGGTTTCTTGAAAAGGCTGAGCGTCCCTCCTCAAAAATCTGACTCCCTTTGTAAGGTTTTGACTTGGACTCCTAAGAAACAGAATTATCAAAACTCTTCATTTACTTTTGAATTTTCTTTATAACACTGTGTTTGAAATTATTGTTAATCTTATTTAAAAAAAGAAACCTGTGAGTTTTTTTAAGCAGGCTGAACCTAAGAAGTCTTCTTACTTTCCTGCTTTCCCCCTAGAGTATGAGAAACAAAGGTCTAAGGTGAATACCTGTGAGTCTCCAATGGCATTCAGAAATTTACTTTCTATCCCCAGATGCAGCCACCACAAAAACTGTTTTGCTCCTGCAAAGAAGCCATGCTTACCAAGTACAGACTGCTTTCTCCCCCCACGTAAACACAGAATCCCTCACTGCGAGATATATTTTGCAGTAGTCCTTTTCAGCAGATGACACTGTCTGTCATACAGCATGACAGTATGTGTGAAATGAGAACTAGCTGATGTCCTATCACACAAGCATGCATTTGGATTGCTGGACTTGGACACAACCTTTGGTCATGAAAGGAAGCTGCTTCTGAAAAATACCTCCCCTCTCCCTGTCAAAACAGTCTTAAGAGCCTACATCATTAGAAGACAGAATAGGAAGATCTCAGAACAAGTAATATGCTTAGGGTCATACAGGTTCTAAGGAGAGTAGCAAAAGCTCCTGGCTTTGCCTTTCTCCTCTGCTGTCTGCAAGTTCCCTGCATACTGTCCTTCCCACTGCTGTATTCTAGACAGCTTCCTCTCACAGTTCTGCTCATTGTCCTAAAAACTGAATAGAGTTATATTCTCTCCTCTTCTAGGGTTCCCTATTCCTTTTCCTCATACCAGGGATATTAGCATGATTTTTTTTCCCTCCTTTTCCTTTTTCAGATCCACCATTTGTACTTTTTCCCCTGTCTGAGAGATGAGCATCTTAGCACATCCACATTTTGGACCACAACAGGCATAGCTGTGGCTCCAGTGCTGAAAAAGGTTGGTGGCTCCCATCATCAACTCTTTGAACTGTAGACAGCTGCCTTGAAGCATGTGCTAACCAGACTCCATGTGCTCTCAGTCCCCATTTCCCTGTTCTGTTTTTCCAAAAGACTGAAAAATCACTGCCTTCCATCTGCTGATGCTGAGGAGATAGTTGGAAAGTTTGGAACCAATTTGCGGTGGGATGCAAAAGCTATCATACTACATGAAGGAAACAAGAAACGCTCTTGGGGGCGAGCTCACCGAAAGGCACTAGAAGCACAGAGACCCCAGGTGTTGACTACAAGCTAGTTAGCAAGCAAAAGGCCAGGGCAGCAGCTCAAGAGAAGGTTTTGTGGTGAATGTTTCCTTTGGAAGATAATTAGGACACTCCTACTGTGCAGACACCTTTCTTGGCATGCTGGTGCAGCTGAAAGTGTGACATCTCTCGTGTCACAGCTAAAATTATGCCACCAGGAATGAGGGAGATTTAGGGAAGGATGTGGAAACATTTAAACAAAGATGACACATATTTAGCAGGATCTCCTGTTTATGTTGTTTAATACCAAAGCACAGGAACCTTCACCAAAATTTGAAAGGAGGGAATAATTTTATCACTACTGAGTAGTAAAAGGAAAAAATAAATAAATAAAAAATACATTAAAATCTCCAAAGACACTGAAGGGATCATCAGCTCGGATACAGAGATACCTGGCACCACAAAGGTTGAAGTGATGCTATGGTGTTCTAAATCTTTTCATTCCTGGGCCCATGCCAGGCCTAGGGCGGGCTGCTGCACTAATTCAGAAGTATCCCACTGTGGTTTCAGGTAATGACTGCTTGCCCACAGTTCAAAGGGCTGTTTTGACAGCCAGGAACAGAATGTCTCTCTGTCTGTCTGCAAGGAATGCTACACACACCAAGGTGCTGTGCCATCTAGGGATTTCTTTGCCTGTGAACAGCTGCTCAGCCTCAATGTAGAGCAGACAAAACGTATCACAGATCTGTTCTAGGCAAAGAACTGGATATACTCAGAGTTATTTTACAGCAAAAAGATACTTCGAAAAAAAGAAAAAGCTATAATTCAGGCTGATTGTTGGTGTTCGAAGAGGATTCTGCTTGCCACCCATCTGCTGCCTGCCCGGCAAGGTGGGTATCAGTTAGATAGAGAAGGAAGATGTTTTCTGAAGAATCAAATATCAAATCCTTTCTGGCACATGATGTTCAAGAATGTGGCCTGACAGCAAGCATTATACTTCACCTTAAATTTCTTTATTCGAGAAGATAAATTTCCATGGTAAAACACTGCACAATTCCGTGAAGATGAATACATGCTAAGTAAAGAGCAGATAAAGCTATCTTTATATTTTTGCACCTCCTTCAAAACAGGAGTAAAACTTTCACAGGAGATCATGCAGAACATACTGGTAAATAATGTAGCCAGTAATTTAAAAAGCAGCTCCACAATGGCTCACAAATCATTCCCATCGTTCAAGATGTCTGGCCAACATCTCGGAGGAGACTGTGCACTAGTTTGGAAAGCTTTTCCTCTGACTGGCAAGAAAAGCCAGTAAGTATTCTGTAAAGAATAGCAAGTGAAAAATACTTGTGTGTTTGCAAAGCTTCCCAACTGGCAGAACAGTCACTTCGGGATGCCGGGAAACCCAGTTCAAGTCCCACTTGCAACTCCCTGTAAATTCCTTAATTGGTAAATAATATCCATTCAATTAAAGATGGTGTACACAACTGTTTTCTTCCCTCTTCCCTAGATTTTTCACATACTCCAAGAAAAGTGGATAGGTTACTGAAGTGCATGTTGTGTGCAGCTGTCAGAGAAGCATTTCCAGCTGTGCATTTATTTTGCTGATCCTGGTTAATTTGGCTAAGACAGGAATTCCTGAGTGGTGAGCTTATTTTCTTTTAATACTACACCTGTATGCAAATACTGGAATCATGTCCATTCATGTGTTCATTGCTTTTTGCAGGAAATTTATTTTGAATTCCCATCTCTCCCTGCACAAAACCCCTAAAGTTACTGAAAGTATGACAAAATATTGCTTCTAACAAGAAAATTATGAGAATGTTAACAAGGTTTTAAGTGATTCTAAGTAAGGTAT